TCCTCTTTTTTTTATACATATGTTTGTGTATATATACGTGTGTGTGTGTGTGTGTGTGTGTATGTATTTATAATGCATGCATATGTATAAGTGTATATGTATATGCGCACATGATTTATTAGATTGTCCTCATGCTATTGTTATGCTAGGCAAATTCACCTGGAGATTCATACTCTATAATAGCTTTTCAAATTACCATGTGAAACTATCAATATTCTAATACTTTTGGAGGGGTGTCTTTATTAAATAGTGGCTATATAGGATATTGAATAACTTTTTTTTTAAAAAACGCTGCATGATCTGAGTTGTAATAAAGTGAAAATACTTCAGAAGCACTAAGTCGTGAAACTGAAAGGGGTTGTTATATACAGAATGCTGTCTCAATTACTTTAATTTTCAACTATGTCTTTTCTCTTGGATTTCTTATCTAATATCTGGTTTACATTGTATAGAATCATAGAATCATAGTATCATTAAGGTTGGTAAGGACCTCTAAGATCATCAAGTGCAACCATCAACCTAACATCACCATGCCCACTAAACCATGTCCTGAAGTGCCACATTTCCCTGTCTTTTAAACACTTCCAGGGATGGTGACTCCACCACTTCCCTGGGCAGCCTGTTCCAATGCTTGACCACTCTTTCAGTAAAGAAATTTTTCCTTATATCCAATCTAACCCCCTCCTGGTCCAACTTGAGGCCATCTGATGCTATGTTTATATCCAACCATTTTGTTCAGGTCACATTTTCTTTTTGCATTGCCTATGAAAGAGATATTTACAGGTTTTGTAAAAATGCAGGGGCTGCATTGATGGAATACTTACACAGAGTGTGTTTTCTGTCACTGCCAAAGATGCTCTTTAGAGTTTTGTGTTCAGAGAGGCAGCTGTTCTGTGCCTTGCCATCTTCTGACAGAAATAATCTTTCTTAGTCTTCTCCTTAATGTATCTGAAAGAGAGCTACTAACCACCTGCTTAGTTTCTCTCCCCACATCTTCAGAGACCTTAACTCTTAAATGCTCAAGAAAGATCCTTAGAAAAATCTATAAAACAGATTATAACCCGTCTGTTCATGGTGTTCTCCTGTAAATTCTAAAAAAAATCAACAAAGGAGATTTTACGTGTGGGAAGTATAAGTATGAAAGAATAACAGGAAAATGGTTGTGTCTTGAATAATCAATCAAATCTCCTCCTTAACAGAGGAAATTAATCATGGTTACTTTTCATAAGGGTCCAGCTAAAATGAAAGCTGGGGTCAAGAGTTACTATTTCTACTTTTAAAAATGAAAATTTATTGTACTTAAATATCACTGAATCATTTAGGTTGGAAGGGACCTCTTAAGATCATCTAGTCCAATCCCCCTGCTTGATCAGAATTTGAAGTCCAGTTTTTAATATCTCCACAGATGGAGACTACACAACCACAAAGGGCAACCTGTTCCTGTATTTGACCACACTCACAGTAAAAAGCTGGGGTATTTTATGCTCAGATGAAATTTTATGTGTTTTAGTTTGTGCCTATTGCCTCTTGTCCTGTTGGTGGGTGCTACTGAAAAAAGCCTGGTTCACTCTTCTTTATTCCCCCCATCAGTTATTTATACACACTGATGAGATCCCCTTGAGCTTTCTGTCGTCCAGATTGAACAGTCCCAGCTCTCTCAGCCTCTTCTCATATGAAAGATGCTCCAGGTCCTTAATTATCCTTTGCCTCTGTCCTAGATTTGCTTCAGTAAGTCCATATCTTTCTTACTGAGGATCCCAGAACTAGGCCCATCACTCCAGATGGAATCTCACCAGTAATGAGTAGAGGGGAAGGATCACCTCTCTTGAGCTACTGTCAAGGCTCTTTCCAGTGTAACCTCGGAAGCTGGTTTTCCTTCTTTGCCACAGGGGTACATTACTGGTTTACAGTCTATTTGCTGTCTACCAGGACCCCAAGATCCTTCTCTGCAGAGCTGCGTTTTAGATGATTGGCCTCAAACTATAGTTACATGGGGTTGTTCCTCCCCAGATGCAAGTTTTTGCATTTCCCCTTTGATGAACTCCACAAGAATCCTCTCTATGTAGACGAAGTGTGACACAACCTTCCAGTGCATCAGCCACTCTTCCCAGTTTTATATCATCACCAAACTTGTCCAGGTCATTAAGGTGTTAAACAGGATTGGACCCTGTACTGACCCCTGGCATACATCACTAGTGACTTTCCTGCAGCTGGACTTTGTATGACTCATCACAACCCTCTGTGTTGTCTATCACACCATCCACTTAGCTAGCCCATAGTTTGTTGACTTGTCTGTCAGGAAATTAGGGGAGACAGTGTCAAAACCCTTACTCAAGTTGAGATAAGTGACATCCACTGTTTTCGTCTCATCTATGAACCTAGTCACCTCATTGTAGAAGGCTATAAGGTTCTTCAAGGAATATAATACTGTATTTCCAGAATGTAAAACTGATTTTGTTATTTTTAATGTCATTAGTGTCATAATGTTAATTTTTAAATGTGCAGTTTCTGTCTAAAGAGAAAATTTTAACAGCTTATCTATGAACATTGTATGAATTACTGTAAATCTGTGACAAGGCTGTTCCTTGTAATAAATTTTTTAATGCTTTGGAAAGAAGAAAACACAGGGGAACGCTTGCTGCAGACCAAACTTCACACTGAAAAGATTCTTTAGAATATTTTTCTGTTTCAGAGCTAAAGTACCTCAGAGCTTTCCCTTAGAAGATTCTTCTGCCCATTCCCCAGTTTAAATCACAAGAAATCTGATATTGTAATGACAAATAGGGTCACACATTTCCCTTAGGGCTGAAAAAGCTCCACCTGTCCTGCAAAATGTCTTTGAAACATTGTAGTAGTGGTATGAAGTGATGCACACTGCAACGTTTTATTAAAAAAATAACTGGCAATCTGGTCTGATTAACACTTTTTCCATTGTTTGCTTTTAATTTAGTAACTAATGAATTTGAAAGTCTAGTATTAATACTATTATTTTGATCTCACAGCTCACGACATGCATAAGCTGGCCATTTCCATGGCCAAAGATATACAAAATAGCAAAAAAAAAGGTTTTTACAGTGCTGGAAAGTGGACCTGTATTCATAATTCCTATACTGTTTGTCTGTACTTGCTCCCTTTTTGGATTTGAATGCACATCATGTTTCTTGAAATGCTGCTTTTAATATCTGTGTAATAGAATCTGGCTCAGCAGGAGAGAAATTGTTACCCTCTATAATCACTGAAAGGTTTTACCCCTTTTTAGTCATTTTCATATTGCTGTTATGCTGTTTTCTTATTAATTTCAACAGTTTCTTATTACAAGTATTTATGTGTCGCTGCATCATCATTTCAATATTGCCAATTTTTACCAAGTGTTGTATAGAAATATGCAAAGTCTCATCTGCTTTAGGATAATTGTGATTGTTCTTCTCAGGGCAGAACTTCAGCAGTATTGCTAATGCCATAAGCACAGGTAGAAATAGGGCACGGTGACTGAGGGCCTCCTCTATTCTGGTTATCCAAAGTATTGGTCCTGTTCAGTCCAGGACTCTTGTTGGGCAGTCTCTTCACACTATTACTTGTAGCTGTTTGCAGTATGTGATTCAGTACATCTTCTGTTACTTTAGCTACATTTGATACTCCCATAGTGCCTGTCCTTGTGGGCAAGACATAAAACAATTTCTTAGGAATTAAAGTTTGTGCTGCACTTTAAGCTGGAAACAGAACCCTGCATTTCTCTGCTGTTGATGTTACCATTCATCTGTACTTGTATTTGGAATACTGAAGCTCTAGTGTAGGCTGGCAGCCTCTGCTTTTTTATATACCATTCAGGGGACCTTCTCTCACCACAGCTAATTAAATAAGTGCTTGTAATAAAAGCAGCAGTTAGTGGTCCATCAATCATAGGGTTTCCAGTGATGCTAGCACTGGGGAAAGTGAACTGCTTGGCAACAGTAAGAAATCCCAGTAGTGTTGGTGGAGATGCTTAGTAGTGATGCTTGGAGGTAATGCCACAGTTCAAGAGTGAGTTTGGTGTTGAGTACAGTTGAGGGAGTCTTTTTCCATGCAGAACCAAGCCTGAAAGTGACAAAGATACTAAATTAACTGGAGATTACTAGAACTTCACCCAGGGCCACATTCAGGCATATTGGTTGTATGTTATGAACAAGATTCTGTGTGTTTACCTTTCACTGATAAATAGTGGTCTTCAGCCTCCATTGCTGTTTAATCTAATGCCTTTTCTCAGTACCAACCTCACTTAGAAAATGTGTTTTCTACTTGCCATATGGTTATTTTAACTAGGAAGTATTCTATCATGTGTGCCTCCAAAAGACTGATTTCCATAGGTTGCCTGTGGTTTAGAACGCTTCAGCTTGGTGGAAAAGAAACTGTTTTTTTAAAGTGGCAAAACTTTGCTTTTCAAAAAAGGGCAGTCTCACTAAACTTTGATGTACACTGTCTAAAGTCTGGCAATGGTTAGCATAAGTACAGTGCATTGCTTTCTAGGACACCCACAAGTCTTTGAACACAGCAAGCACTAGTGGAGAAAGGCTGGGTAGATGAAGTAAGCAGAGCCCTGCAGTAGGATCAGGGAAGCTGGATCAGTGAGTGGTCACAGCCAGCTCAGTCCTGTTTTCTGTGCCACCTCCTTCCTCTAAAACAGAGGCAGTAATACTTATGTAATGTATTTGGAGATTTTCTGATGAAAATTCGTCTGTGAGAGAGATAATTTTTATCATCCCCAGGTGGAATAAATTGACTTTAGTTCAGTCAGTGCAGCTGTAAATCTTTAAGTAAAGAGTTGGATACAGGTTTTCATTGCGATTATGAAATTTCTATTATGGAAGAGATTCTTGAAATGAAGTGAGGGTTTGGATTGTGAGATTAAAGGACAATGTCATATTGCTATTAGAAGCCTAGGAGTAAATTTGAAGAGGAAAAGGTTGTTTTGGGGTGAGATACTGTTTAATTCAGTATTGTTTTTTCAATTCTTATTTTATTAGGATTGTCAGGGGATTTCTTGCGTTCTGGACGATACTCTGCTCATACCATCAATGGTGCCTGGTCACCCTGGTCTCCATGGTCTCAGTGCAGTCGTGACTGCAGTAGAGGTATACGGAATCGCAAGCGGGTCTGCAGCAATCCTGAGCCCAAGTACGGGGGACTCCCTTGCCTCGGCCCATCGCTAGAGTACCAGGAATGCAACATTTTGCCTTGTCCAGGTAAGAGTTAACCAAAATTAGAGAAGTATGTGAAAATAAAATAACTCACCTTCAAGGCTATATCTTACAGTAGTTGGTTTGGGTATTTTTGTGGGTTTGGGGTTTATTTTGGTTTTTGAATAAACTACATCTGAAATTCACCTTTCTAAGATAAGTGGATTTGCATAAGATTTACAAGTGATGTCAATCAGTTTATTATCAACAGTATTAACAGCTATGTCTTTTTTCACTTGTGAGACTTAGACTGTAAGAAAATAATAAGTAAACTTATAAGAGAAAACAGACATGGAAAATCTGGCCTAGTCTTTATTTAAACTCAAAATATTATCTTCTTCACAGTGGTTGCTGGCATTAAATCTGTGTTAGCTTTTGAGTATAGAGGCTCCAGCAAATAATGTTCAGGACTGATCACCAAACTAGATGGTATCTCTGGTAGGCCATAAAGATTGTTCTTGGAATCTTGAGCTTCTCCTTCATTGAAAGTTGTTTTATGATTCTATAAAAAGGATTACAAGTAGAATATATATTTTCAGGAAACTACTTTGGGTTATAAATCTTTGTTTCTTAGACATTTGGGGAAAAAAAGATTCCTGGTTTCAGTCACCCCTCACCCTTCGTAAAATAGACATACAAATTCAGAGGCTTTTGATCTTTGCCGAGGCTTTGTGGAATAAGAAAGGGGAAGGATATAGTAGAACACATGAAGAAAGGAAAGTGCAACTGGAATAGGAGGATAGAATTTGAGGTTGGAAATGATAGAGAGGAAGAAGGATAATGACTGAGTCAGTTCTTTCCAGTATCAACAAGTAAATTTAGAAATAAGCTTTCATACATCTTTAATTGTATTAATTATGTATAACAGTGCTGCATATTTTATTATTAAAGAATTCAAACTTTTAGTGTTTATTCAAGTGTGGACCTGAAGGATTACTATGGCAATCTCTTTCATATTACATATGTATATTACTATAATAAAACATACATGCACGTGTGTATTTATCTTATCTATGTCTGTGTTCCCTAAATCATGAATATATTTTTTGTTATTATGAGTTTTTTGTCCAATCTTACAATTACAGTGCTTTCCCTAAGCTTTGTAAGTCCTTTGACAATCACTGTCCATTCTCTGCATCAGAATCTAAGCAGTAGATCTGTGCAGCAGACAGGGCTTCCCTTTAAAGAGGACACAGTTTCTTGAAAAACACACTTCCATCTTGAATTGAACCTGAGTAATACGTTTTGGCAGATATCCCACAAACCCAGCAGCTCTGGGAGTGTTCTGGCTGCTCAGTGAAAGGGAACTTCTCTGCAGTTTTATGGCTAATGGAAATAGCAGGATTGCTTGGCAACTTGAATGCCCCAGGCAGCTCTTCTGCTGGTGGGGCAGATCCAAAGGGAATTTCTGTTGAGAATCCCTGGTTCTGTCTGGGTGAATGTTCATTGAGCCATTGAGGTTCTGAAAAAGGCACATGGATAAAACAAGCCAGCACTTTCTGGTGACATATTCTTGCTGGATCCAAGGAAGAGTGAAGTAGCTTTAGATGCTCATTGTGTAGCTTTTTCATCTGGCAATATAAGCATCTGAGGAGATCAAGAGAAGCTAGATGGTTCTTTCTGAGCTTAGAGGCATGATCTGTGAAGGGCGGCCATGTTTTCTACATCAAGCCATGTGAGAGAGAGGTGAAAGGGAATCAGCAGAGAACCAACAGTTGGCAGAGAAATATTAAATTGTGGCCAAAATCATGCTCTAATTCATTAGTTCCCAAGCTGCAATCGTAACACCTTGCTTTTCTTGAATAATAAAATAATAAAACAATTCTGTTCCATGTGGCTGCACTGTTCATCTGTGAAAAATTTTGAAGGTTGACAGTAACAGAGTAGGTCAAAGATTTAGGAGACCGTTGTACTAACAAGTGCAAGCCTTCCCAGAACATAGCACTGCCTTATTGGTTCCTTCTTCCCTTGCAAAAGGAATCCCTCCATGAGATGCTGCCTTCAGCTTCCTCTGAAGCAGGTGAGTGGTGTGGTAATAGCTAACAGCTCTGCTCACAAGCTTTATGATACCTGATTATATTACCATACTGTACTAATTGAAGTGCATTCATTAAATAAGCCCAGATTATTTATAAAACAGGGCCAGCTTTGCTGTTCATGCTGTATTGAATTTTGTTAGGTTTTTTCAAAATTAAAATAAGTTAAAGTTTTCAGAAGTCGCATTTTTAATTAGCTAGTAGTCTGTTTTATTAGTTAGTAGTCTGTTACATTTTTTGGAGGAAATTGTTCCAACCAGTAAAACATGTAGTTATGCAGTTGGAAATATTATGTAGAGGCCCTTGTTGATTATGATTTAGCCAATATCCAAATCTAAAAGACGTTAAGTTGTAAGACAGACCTTGAAATTGTGCTTTATATAAAAAATATTCCCTCTTCTGCTGTCTCTGAATTTGAAAATACTTTAAAGATTAGTTTGTATAAATTATCTTGGGCCTTTCTGAAGCAAGAAGGGGTGTCCTAATATATCTAATAACTTTCTTCAGAGAAAAGCTTCATTTTGCTTTTAAGTGCAAAGTACATTTGAGTAAAGATGTAGAGCTTGAAGTATTTAGACGTATGATAGCCTGTGAGGAATCACAAAGTTCCTCAGCTGCGGAACTACTGTTTGCCAGTAATTAAGAAGAAATGTTAGGGACTAAGTCAGATCCTAGATAAATCTGAAGGGAAAACATTGCAAGCAGTAGATGTAATTGATTATTTTTTTTCTTTAAGACATGGGAGAGTGAAAAATGATTGCAGAATAAGGCTTATCCATAAATTAAACCTGATTATAAATTTGTAGAAAGGGAATAATTTTTTATTAGAGAAGCACATGGATGAAATTGGATTCTCTCCATTTTTAATGAAAGGCTCAGAAAGTGAAATTGGTGGGCAAACATGAGCATCTATTAGGTTGACATTCATAAGACCTCATCAAGAGAGGGGGGACATAAACAATACATGAGTGAAGAGCCTTTGGTCCAGGCCCATGTGTACAAATGTGGCAGACCTCACAGTAGGGAGAATAAAAGAAACCATGGTTGGATCGCTTTTCAGCCTTCTTGTTAACCGCTGTGCTGGGGACCAGATTTCATTTCCAAGGTGCTTATATTTAGGACAGCTATATAACAACATTCTTAGCCTGGCTACCCAAGTGAGTTTCTAAAATGTCTCTCTTAGGCTTTGATCACACAGGGCTTGCAAGTGTTTATGAGAAAGGTTGGTGTAGGTGCAGATCTCATCACGATATTGACTACAACCTCCTCACATGCACTAGGCTGTAGACCGAGGGACCAAGGAGAAGTAAATACGTCAGGCTCTCCTTGCCACTGTGAACATCAAGGAGAAGAACAGGGACTCTGGATAGTTCATTCTTGCCCATCTCAGTAAGTGAGGTGCAGACAGAAACACTAAGGAATGTGATGAGATTTCATTCTGACCTTGACCTGAAAGTAATGGCCATAGTACTAGAAATAAAAATGCAACAAAGAATTTGATGCTTTCTAAGATTTACCTGACCTCCCTCAGGGTAAGGGCAGCTTCACCTGCTCCCTGCTGTCACAGAACCATTTCATTCCAGTCCAGTCCAGTCATTAGTCTTTTAGAAATATTCTGGTTAGTAGGAAGGAGCGAAATGGCAGCCATAAGAAGCCTTCCTGTTAGTGCAGGCTCAGGTTCTGTTTTGCTCCCTCTTCTGCTTATTGCAGACAGGATCGTACATCTATGATGTAAACTACTGAAAAAGTTGAATGATGGAGAAATATACTGAGTAGTGCTTAAGTCATGCTGAAAGTCAATAGGACTTTATGCTTCTAAATCAGTTAATCTGGGCACAGTGTCATCCTGGAAGATACTGAGGGCTCTGAAGGACTGACACAATGAAAAAGGCTGTGGAGCAATCACCGAGTGTACAAAGCTTTCTTGTCAGGTTAAGTGTCTTGCAGCATCATTTTTAATATACATGTTAATATATTAATAGCCAGAAATGTATGGTTAAATGTACTGCAGGATCCCAGACCTTTAAAAAAACACTAAAGTAATGTAGAACCTGCCTTCATCAGGTACCATTTAATCTTTTTTGAGCCTGCAGGGGAGTGAACAACAGTGAATTTTTTTTCACCACAGCTTGTAGCAAAGTAAATCGTCCACTGACGTGCGGATTGATAGCAGTCACCGGGTAGATTACTTTTTATTCATAGTATTTGAAGGCTGAATATATAATAGTAAATTGAACAGTGCCAGAAAATTGCCAGAAATTGTACCTAGTCCCTGGAATATGATTTGTCTATATTGTGCAAGTTTTAGAATGATCCCTCATCCAATTTTGCCTCTAACTAAATAGCATTCTTCCAGATAATCTGCAGAAATAGTTTGGGAGTCAGTGCACGGTAAGGCCTGTCAGTGCTCAGCTTCCATGTGGCCAAACTGCTTTCAGAAGGTAGGAAAATTTTCACTATTGTCTTGCACTAGCAAATTATGCTTTGGCTCTGGGCCTCAGCTCCTTTTTTATGGCTTCGAGATGTGGTGAATAGAGTTGAGTTGGCAAGCACTGAACAGACTCAATAACTGTGGAAAGGATCTGTGAATAATCACTGACATTTCTGTTTTCTTTAAGTTACTAATATGTGGTCAATATGGAAAGAAAGGAATCTATAATCAGACAGATTAGGGTTCTGTTATCCTTAGTGGCTTGTGAGGTATTTGCATTATGAAGATAAATAGATGATGAAGTGAAGCATTGTTTGAATGGCAAATTCTGCAAATTTTCAAAAATTACAGGAATTTACTTACTAAAAGGTTAAGTTCCCTGAAAATAATCATAACCAATTGTAAGGAATTTTGTCTTAGTTCACAGTATTACACATCTCTTCAGTTATCACTGTAGAAGACAACTTTTTCTTCATTTTTGTTTTGTTTCATTTCTTGTTACCTTCTCTTTTTTTCTTTTGCACATGGAGACACTTGAC